GATGGTTTACTTTCAGCCAAAAAACTATAAATACATGATATTTTTGTACTAGATTTGACACTGTTTGAGGAATAATCGTGCTACTTAATAGTCTTCTGTTTTCTCTATTACGACGTTGCGGTTTCGATCGTCCAGGTAGTCTAGTAGTACGCGGCATACGAAGAATCATTGCTCTGGATATAACGCTAAAACACTTCCAAAGATTTCACATCAAAGAATTCAAAAGTTTTGTTAATATATAGTTAATAATCGTAAACTTTAGACCTTAAAATAAATCAGAACTGAACAACTAAGTACGTTGCTATTATTCTTGTTATATCAATGATTTTATTCATAGGGTATTGTAATATCTCATTGTTGATATTCACTATTGGATTTTGACTAGTCTTTGGTGGTAAATGTCCATATTTAGTGGATCGCCTTATATTTACAGTAGTTACATATTTTAGCACATTTAGATTGCAGATATTAGTGTAGGCAAGGTCCTCTGTTTCGTCTTATTCGGGACTCGTCATTCGTCTGTGCCTAAATATCAGTACTGATGCTGACAATCAGACTCAAACCCAGTGCCTGTCACTTCTGTTACAGAAACATAATTAACCATTCTACTATTCTACGAGCACACTAAGCTGACGAATCTCAGGTAGGGCAAAACCCGAATTCCACTAATTAAGACACTTTAAATATATTAATGAGTCTAGTATAGAAATCGTATCAAACTTGCATTCATTCGCATTCACATTTCTGCTCGTACTCGCTTTATGTACCCGTGGCGCTGTGATCTGCGTTGCGCAATAATAAACTGCAGTCAACGCTTCTCATAGTCTTCTGAAATGCATACATCGTTGGGCGTTATCCAGTAAAGGTTATCAGGACGAATGATATACGAAGCACTAAGAATTATCCTGGAGATATTTCATCACAATTTTCCCAAATATGATTTTATTGTTTTATATATAACATCAAAAGCTTTGCCATGTATAATATTATGAATATCCTTTTTACATGTTACAGAAAACGTCATCTAATTAAAAACTAACCGTTTCACACGCTGTTTTTATGTATTATATCTTCTTGGAGAAATAGACCCATTCAAACACTTACGAAAAACGAAGTTAAGAATCTCTATAATACCTCATTTTCTACGCATATAACTCGGCTAAAAAGTTCGGATAGCAAAACTAACTAAAGGTTGAATTGATGAGTCAACCAAAGCTAAATCACCATGGTAAACCCGGATTCCTCAACAATGCGCGTCCACAATCCGGCCAGCGGTGTGAGAACCTAGGATTTTCGGTCTCGCGCGCGAACGCTTAACCCATAGAACACTGAGACAGCAACCAGCGGTTTTAATATGTAACTTCAACCAATGCACGAAATTCCGCCACCGCCCATCATTATCTTAAGTGAGTTGCTGCCTCATAACAGACACGGTTGAACTTCACTGCTCACGGCTTCTCATTAAAAGCCCAGAAAATACCTCTTAAAGCCAGTCACTAGCGGATGAGCACTGTTGAGGAGTTCCATACTAGGACGAAATGACTGTCCAATGATCCCAGGCTTTCCATGGTGGTCTATCCTTAATCGACTGATGAATTCAACGATTAAATTACTACGAAAATCCTGATTTCACACACTTGTAAGATATTCCATATGCAGTGGGCATTTTACATCGATTTCCATTTAGTTCTTCATTACAACTTATGTCTGTGATTACTCGTGCTGTCAATCAAAATCATTTTAATATCTATACTAAAGGTGCACCTGAAACTATTGAATTATTGTGCAGATGTGATACTAGTAAATAAAATATGAAGATTATCAAGAATTATCATTATTATTTTAGTGTTAATACAATCGGTTAGTTATATGCAACGTTAAGCCCATCAGAAATATATATCAACCCAAGTTTCCACACCGTTTTAACACTCTGAGACGAAATGATAAATGTGTATACCAAAGTGGTATTAACATTATGTACAGTAAGATGATTTAGTGCACACAATGTGATTTAAGAAAGTCTCTTGAATTCGTGTGACAAAGGAATTGAGTGTATGTTGACCTTTATAAACGATTCGAAGCCATTCGACCCAGTATCTTTAACCACTGATTATGCTGATCAGCTTGTATGCACCTACCAACATGTCTGAGACCAACAATCAATGACTTCGTAAACTGATTGTTCTTCTCTATTTGACAGCCCCTGGTTACACACTACCAAATATCTTTCATCGAAGTAGGAGGTTGTTGGACAGCTTAAGACGTGTTACAACTATCTTAGTGGATGAAACTTCACACTTTCATCAACTGATTTGTTATCTTTCGTTAGTTTTACAATGCGTAACTATAGCATCGTTCAGTTGGTTATCATAAAATAAATAAACCATGATCCGAAAACTTATGGGAGAGGACAAACCAGCTTCCAGCTGAAGAGGAAATTAGGAAAACACTTTGGAGTGGATAGAGCATACATTAAAGAAATCACCAAACTGCATCACGAGGCAAAGCTTAACTTGGAATCTAGAAGGGAAGCGGAAAAGAGGAATGCCAAAGAACACATTACGCCGAGAAATAGAAGCAGATATGAAAAGGATGAATAACAACTGGAAAGAACTGTAAGGGATTGCCCAGGACAGAGTTGGATAAAGAATGCTGGTAGGCAGCCCATGCTCCTCTACGAGGGGTTACAGGCGTAAATAAGTAAGTAAGATTCGAAGACATCTATAATCAAATACCAGTAACCTGTTGACATCCTCTTTGAAAGGTCATGTTTCATAGCCGTTAAATGGCGCAAAACGAACCAGTTCTCACCATACTCTTTGTTTGTCAAAAACCGATCTATCACTTACGCAACAGGTGACACTTGGTGATAAAAGCCGACTAAGCTTTTCGGCAATATATATATATATATATATTGGAAAAAAGTGAAAATTACAAAGAAATTGATGTTGTATTTTCTGTTTTATCCTGAAATACTGTTCTCTTACCAGATTTATAATCCTAAGTAGCATCATTATCATTATTATTACCATTATTAAGAAGATATTTCCTTGAATTCTAGCGGGAAGCAGTGACCAGTGGAGTTCTACCAAGTCTGTTGTATAGATATAAACTCATTGAAGACAATTGGTGAACGGTCGCTCAAAATCATGGATTGGTTGAAGTTAGGCATTAACACCGTTGTATGCCGGCTCAGTGGTCTATCGGTCAAGTGCGCTAGCACGAGACTGGTAGGTCCTGGGTTCGAATCTCACGAGTGCGGGATCGCGGATGAGCACTGCTGAGAAGTCCAATAATAGGACGAAATGGCCGTCCAGTGCTTCTAGGTTTTCGATGGTGGTCTAGATTCTATTGACTCATGATTTCAACGATGAAAATATTAAGAAACAAACAAAACTAAGAATATTCTAATACTAAGTCTATATTTATAAATAAATAAATAAATAATTCACAGAACTAAATTCAAATTAGAACCACTTTTTTTAAACAAAATTGTTTCATAAAACTTAAACAAGTAATTAATCAATACATAATCATAGATTTATCAATATTTAATTTAATATAGATTAAAAGAATTGTATACATACTACTTTTAAATTAATTAGTCCCTTTGATAAATTTCGATAGTGTAATAATAAGAAGATGAAGATTATCAGAAGTGCTTTGTAATGATATATTAGCGCAATACATTTCAAACAATCTGACCACACGTTTACTTGTTAAGAACATTCATATATAAAAATAAAAGGTCAACTAGACTGAAAATGGGGGGGTAAGGGGAGACAAGGATAATATTTATAATAATAATAATAATAATAATAATATGAAAACAATTTTAAACCTAACCACTATGGATAATAAGCTATTATTACGAGGGTAGGTTTAAGGTGAGAACAAACTGTTTTTGAATACACAATAGGGGGTTCGAATTTTCATATGGCTAAGGCGTAAATAAACCTTAGTAATACACCCTTTTACACTTTTATACTCCACCACCACCACCACCACAAAAACCGAGTTAAGATCGATCTTATCACACAGTTCTTCGGATAATCTTCATCTTCTTATATTACATTATCGATATACTACTTTTAATGATAGACAATTTATATTTGTATAATAAAACAAATAAAATATAAATTTTAAATAATAATTCAATTTTTTTCTTTTTTTTGAATGATTATTTCTTTTAGATCAATAATTTTTTCATTTATAATCTAATTTTTTTAAATAAGAAACATAAATTAAACATATGAAAATCGATAAGTGATAATAATAATAATACTAATAATAGTAATAATAATAATAATACGTAACATTTAAATTTGAATTTAAATTTCAAAAAAAAGAAAAAATAATTTTTTTTAAATTTTTTTAAAATTCGGCAGATAATCGATAGAGAACAAAAATAATACTAATAATAGTAATAATAGTAATACGTAACATTTAAATTTAAAGCAATTAGTGCCTTTGATAAATTTCGATAATGTAATAAGAAGACGAAGATTATCAGAACTATGTGATGAGATATTAGCGCAATACATTTCGAACAATCTGATCACACATATACTTGTTAAGAACATTTATATATAAAAATAAAAGGTCAACTAGACAGGTAATAAGGTTAAGAAATAGACAGGGATAATAATGATAAAATAATGTGAAAACAACTTGACACTTAATCACTCTGGATAATAAGCATTTATTACCAGGGTAGGTTTAAGGTGAGAACAAACTGTTTTTGAATACACAATAGGGGGGTTTGAATTTTCGTATGGTTAAGGCTTCAATAAACCTCTGATAATCTTCGTCTTCTTATTACATTATCGAAATTTAAATTTAAATTTCAAAAAAAAGAAAAAACAATTATTTTTTAATTTTTTTTTTAAAATTTGGATGAAAATCGATAGAGAATAATAATAATATGTAATATTTAAATTTTGAATTTAAATTTCAAAAAAAAGATGAAAAAATTTTTTTTATTATTTTTTTTTGTTTAATTAAGGATTAGTTATTGAAGTATTTTGTTTTATTGATTTTTGATTATAATGACAATGAATTAATTGTTTTAATATATAATTAAATTTTTTAATACGATAATAATATATAAATATATTAAATGATGATTGAAGAAATATTAAATTCCATGACATATTACTTGTTATTACTAATAAACGAACATATTCTGAATTAACAATTTGAAAATTAACTGTTAATGAAATTAAATAAACAATACTATTAGGTAATGAAAATAAAAATGCTATAATTTGAAGAATAAACATAGTAATTATAAGTGAAATATTTAATTCTGATGAAGATGTCGATGTCGATGTTGAGGATGTTGATGATATTGATGTTGTCGATGGACGACTTATTTTTTGAAGTTTACGTGCCCATTTAATTACTTTAATTGAAAAAAATAAATCAAATAATGTAACTAGTGATAATTGTATTGGACATGTATTTGAAAATAAAGCTTGATGAATTAAAAGATAATTTGAATTATCTAAAAACCAACATACAGATAATTGTCGTACTTGTGTTATATCAGATAAGATTGTAAGTGGTAATACGATTATTATTGTTAATATAAAGATGATAAGTATTAATAACCAATTAAAATATTTAGAAAGTTTATTATAAATTAATGGTTTATTGATTAAAACAAAACGATCAATTGCCAAAAGGATAAATATATTACCTCGAAGTGTACAGAAGAATGCTTGAAAAAATGTGAACACTTTACAACCCATACTTGTTTTTGTTGACATGAAATAATAGATAGTTCCTGATGATATATAAGGTAAACCAAATGTTGGAAATAATCGAAACCAACCAACAAAAATTACAATTCCAATATCTGCTATAGCAAGTATTCCTAAAAATATAAATTGTTTATTATATTGAATCATTGAATTAAAGAATATTATAGCAACAATACAATTACCAATGATATCAAATGTACCAATAAATGGGAATATATAACCCATTAATACACCAAATGCTGTTGATACTTTACATAATGTATGACTAGCATTTGGATATCCTTCATTTAATAGAATACAATCAATTAATGTATCCCAAGGTGATGTAAATTCTGTCCAGTTAGCATATAGATCCATGTTAAAGAATTGTTTATAAAACTTTAGGGATTATTCTCTGTTTATAGTTTCTTCTTTCGGTTTATATATATGTACAGTTTTTGCACTGATTTTATCAGTAACATAACAAATACAAGAGTCCTTTCTTTTTTTTTAGGGAAAGTTAAAGGTTATTAATGGTTATAATATCCAAGGTACATAGTATCAAAGTTATTTGAATGAATTAGTTCACTGTAATAAAAAGCATTTACTAATAAACTTTCATATTATACCATTTCGTTATATACTACTTATATATTCGATCAGATAATGAAAATTGAAATAATTTCAAATAATGACCACATGAAAATAATAACTAATCACCATGGTTACAATCATCTTACTTTTTTAACCGCATTCTTTACATGATATAAAATAGAAAATTTATCTATCATTACATTGTGTATAATCAATCTAAGTATACTCAACAACAACAGCAACAAATCTATTACAGACAATGAAATATGATTTTTCATTGAACTAATGAGGACATTTAAATATTCACAATAGTTTAATACAAACTAACTAACTAATGTTATGTACAATCTGATAACTACATCGAACTTTTAACCGGTACACGAAATTAATAAGAAGGATAAATTATATGTAAGAATGTATTTTAAACATATAATTAGTAAAATTCACATCTTTCGTCAATATGTATATAGGAGGAATTCACTTAGTATTGTTTGTTTGAATCTACTCATTGATGTTTAGGACTGCAACTGGTCAGTCTCTAATTGGCAATATGTGCAGTCCTAAGCATCAATGTGAAGATTCAAACAAATAATACTAAGTGAACTTAAACTTCATCCCATTGCACAAGCAAGTGGCTATCAGGACTCAGTAGCTGAGTGGATAACGCAATGGTGTTTGAAGCGAAGGGTACTGGGTTCGAGTCCCGTAGTGAACATCAACTCTGAGATGCAGGTACATTCAGCTGACGAGTCCCAAATAGGACAAAGGGGTGGGCATCCTGTATTCCTCTGCTAGCCACTATCCATCTTTGCTTACAATACATAGGAGGAGGATAATTTTGTTTTATTTGAACAATTATTTATAAATTACTGACAATATGGATTTAGACGGTGTATTCTGGTTAAAAACTTCAATATATATATATATATATATATATATATATATATATATTCTTTTTAAAACACGACTGGAAAATATGTAAGAACTCTTGTCTAAATTAGAGCGAATAATTTCACAGTATTTGAGCGAATACAATCAGGAACAGCTTACTATTACAGAAAACAAACTAACTTCCAAATAAAGAGGAAATCAGGAAAATACACAAACATATATATTGTGTAATGCATCAAACTGCATCATGAAGCTAACTTGGAATCTTGGAGGGAAAAGGAAAAGAGGAAGACCGAAGAACAAATTACTTTGGGAATTGGAAGCAGATATAAAGAGGATGAATAACAATTGGAAGGAACTGGAAAGGATTTTCGAGGATAGAGTTAAATGAAGAATGCTGGTAGACGGCCTATGCTCCTCAATGAGGGGTAACAGGCATAAGTAAGTAAACAAGTATAGAAGGACTGACTGCTGACTACCGATATCCATATAGTCTTAAACGAGTGAAATTATATACCCTATTATTTGATACCAGCTACCGTTGTAAACCGTCTGAAAAATGAACTGAATAAACTGAGATATCCTCATGTATAACTGATTGATCATTTAAAGGTTACTAATGTCTTGTATGTAAAATCTTGCTCAGGGTTGATCGAGTTTTGTCTATCAAGTTGAAAAGTAATCATTAGTCTACGAGCCTCAGCATCGCATGAACAATATTAAGACCTAAACTGGTGACCTGATGGTAGTCACTACTCAGTGACTAATCCATTGTGTAATACACTTCAGTACTACAAAAGGTTGCTCACTGCCTCATTAGCTTAATGGTAATGACTGGGTCTGTGAAGCTGAGTGAAACGGGATCGAATCAGTCAGGGACTATTAGTTACCTCACATTGGTAATGAGCACTGGATAACATGAAACCTAGGTCACAGGATTTCCTGTTGACTATTTCCAAATACCATCTTACAAACAGACGGATCTCCATCGATAGAGAAGACAAATTTCAATTCTTCTCAACTTCATTAGAAGATAAAGTTAACAGAATGGAAATGTATTGAAAAAAATTCAAAGCCTGTAATAAACAAACAAGTTCCTACTATATTATAGTAACAATCTGGTGATTTATTTAACAAATAATTACTTACTTACTTGCTTTCGCCTGTTACTCCCAATGGAGCATAGGCCGTCGACCAGTATTCTCCAACCCATACTGGTTATATTGAGGCAATACGCACAGTATGTACATATGCCATTTAGAGACTGACCAGTTGAGGTCCTAAAAACATAAATGGGAAGATTCAAACAAACAATATTAAGTATGTAGGTATCATTACCAAGTTTTGATTTGATAATTTTGAATAATATCAGAAGGGGTTTTGTGAAGATTTTAGTAATTTTTATAGAGTTGAGATCATGAGTCAATTGAAGCTAGACCACCATGGAAAACCTGGAAACACAGGACGGCCGTTTCGTCCTATTATGAGACTCCTCAGCAGTGCGCATCCACGAAACCACTCTCGCGCGATTCGAACCCAGGACCTAACAATTTTGAGTCAATTGACTAATGATCTCAATTCTATAAATTACTAAAATCTCCACAAAACCCCTTCTGATAATAATCAGATGCTCACTAGTGACTGACTCCTTGAGGTATTTCCTGGAGTTCTAGTGAGAAGCAGTAACCGGTGGAGTTCAACCAGGTCTGTTGTGAGATAGGAACTCACTGATGACATTGGTGAATGGTTGCTCAATTTCGTGAATCAGTTGAAGTTAGACATTAACACCGTTGGATGACAGCCAGCTCAGTGGTCTATCGGTAAAGGGCTTCGGCTCGAAATTGTTAGGTCCTGGGTTCGAATCCCGCGAGAGTGGTTTCGTGGATGCGCACTGCTGAGGAGTCCCATAATAGGACGAAATGGCCGTCCAGTATTTCCAGGTTTTCCATGGTGGTCTAGCTTCAATTGACTCATGATCTCAACTCTATAAAAATTACTAAAATTTTGAATAAATTGAGCATTAGGTGGATTGTTATAAATAAATTAATATATTTGTAATATCCCAATGAGTAGAAAAATGAGATTTTCTGACGTTTCGTGACTCAGTGTAAGCCACTTCTTCAAAGAATAAATAACCAAATTAACATTAATCCAAGTTTAAATAGTACAACGGAACAATCCAAGACTGTTAGGTGATCAATCAAAAAACAGATCTGAATAGATCAATGTCATGTCATTTCATTTCGGTCAAGGTGATTCATAAGGGATATGTATGTAATTTTGTGTGTATGCATGCACTGTTAATAATGACAAAATGTGTGACCTTTGTAATGACAAAGGATAGAATTTGATTTGTAATGTAATGGTGTGAAATTGTAAATAATATTAGACTGGTTGACTAGGATAGATAGTCCAAGTGGGATGTATGGTAAGGCCTTCTTTTCTATTGAGGGCAGTGGGATTAAGCATTATATGGAAAGCTTCAGCTACTCTTGTTTCTTTGTGATTGCAAAAACCTTTCTGTAGTATTTTGATATTTTTGAAATCAATTTGATGACTGTTGAAAAAGAGCCAACAAGATCATCTCTTCAGAAGAGGACAAACAAAAAGAACAAAAGAATGTAATTAGCATCTTACAATTTAATAATCTTCCTATGAAGATTATTAGAAGTATATTAAAACGAGACAATTCAGTACGCAATAATAATAATAATAATAATAATAATAATAATTCGAAGGAAATGCCATGGACTGGTGCTGCAGTTTTACCATATCGTCATGGCACAACTAAAGAACTCCAAAGAATCTTAAGACAACACAGAATTAAAGTATATTACAAAACAACAACGAACACTCTTCGAAATACTTTAGTTCGATTAAAAGAAAAGATACCATTCATGTCTACACAGAACTGCGTCTACAAATTAGGTTGTGTCGACTGTGATGCATTCTATATTGGAGAGTCATCTCGCGAAATCTTAACTCGCGCCAAAGAACATATCAGGTACACAAAGAAACCTCCTAATAACCCTGTAGAACTAGATAGACTTCAAATTAAATCGGCATTAGCGATTCATGCCATTTTCAATAATCATCAAATTGATTTCAAAAACATCAAAATACTACAGAAAAGTTTTTCCAATCACAAAGAAAAAGAGTAGCGGAAGCTTTCCATATAATGCTTAATCCCACTGCCCTCAATAGAAAAGAAGGCCTTACCATACATCCCACTTGGACTATCTATCCTAGTCAACCAGTCTAATATTATTTACAATTTCACACCATTACATTACAAATTAAACTCTATCCTTTGTCATTACAAAGGTCACACATTTTGTCATTATTAACAGTGCATACATACACACAAAATTACTTACAAGTCGAATCACCTTGACCGAAATGAAATGACGTGACAGTAATTTACTCAGACCTGTTTTTTGATTGATCACCTAATATTCTTTGATTGTTCCGTTGTACTATTTAAACTTGGATTAATGTTAATTTGGTTATTTATTCTCTGAAGAAGTGGCTTACACTAAGTCACGAAACGTCAGAAAATCTCATTTTTCTACTCATTGGGATATTACAAATATATTAATTTATTTATAATACTAAGTATGTTTAGACATTAAATAGGAATAATATATTTGTAAAATCTCAGCGAATGAATTTTTTTAAATTAAATCCAACGTTTCGCCTGGCAATCTGGTCCAAGCTTTTTCAAGGAATTATCAAGGATTTAATTTAAAAAAAATTCATTTGCTGAGATTTTACAAATATATTATTCCTATTTAATGTCTTACTTCAACTCGGCGCTCAAATACTGTGAAACTATTCGTTCTAATTTAGACGAGAGTTCTTATATACTAAGTATGTTTAGTTTTGTGTTCAGC